AATGAAGAAATCAGAGTCAATGACAATGAGATCCACAGAAAGACACATCCACACGTGTTCCGCTGCCTGACTTCGAAGTGCTGGTTATGAATCACATTTAGGGAAGGCATTATTCATAAATAGCTGCAATTGAAGAACTAACAGCTGATAACCAGCTCCCAAGCACTCCCAGCCTCTGCAAGTCTTCACCAGGCACTGCTGGAAACAGAATTATAATCTTCAGCATCCACAAAAACTTAAAAACACTTAAAGGGTAGTTCCTGTTATTAATTATCCACATGAGAGTCCTTCACTCTTAGACTTTCATGCTTTCTCCTGCAGATGTAAAAGCTCAGGAACTGAGTCTAAAGTATTTATTAAATCACTTATTATTTCTACCTTTCACCCTAAAGAGAAACAACCCACAAAAGCAAACATGAAAGAAATAATTATCGATGCATCCCAATAGGGAAATCTGTTTTCTTCATCTTTCTGCTACTCTCTTTCCAACATTTCATTAAATTCCGCTCATGGCACAAGTCACTTAAATCTACAAAAATCTTGTATAAAATTAACACCATATGTGGCTGCATAGCAGCAGTTGATGTGCAGTATTACACCAAGGCAGAGGGGGAAAAAATGAAGAATATGCCAAACTTTCTCGTGCCCAGGACTCAAAGTAGTTTATCTGTCAGCTCGGGATGAGCTATCACTCCCACATGTTCAATTAGAAGCTGAAGAGCTCCACAGAATTACAGCCAGGGCACTGGAACAGGCAGTTTCTTTTAACTGGAACACACTGCTGGGGTATCTGATTCCAATAAACAACGCAAAACTTCGCATGTTAGAAGTGTGGGAAGAGTAAAGATGGTATTGCTCTTGGGATGTAATACAAGAAAGTTTTTGCTGCAAGATAAGATTTAATTATGCTGCAGTTTTGATGAGCACAATATCACCAAGGAAATTTTCTAGAAAAACAAAAGTACCACGGCACATTTCTTTATTTTCCTGCCACATTCAGTGTTGAGTAAATTGCATAGTTAGTGAATTGTGTATTGAGCACTGAGAATTATAGGAACATTGAAGCTGGAAAAGACCCTCAGGATCATAGAATGGTTTGGGTTGAGAAGGACCTTAAAGATCTCCTTGTTCCAATTCCCCTGCCATGGGCAGGGACCCCTTCCACTAGCCCAGGTTGCTCAGCACCTCATCCAACCTGGCCTTAAACACTTCCAGGGTTAGGGCTCCACAGCCTCTCTGGGAAACCTGTTCCAGGGCCTCACCACCCTCTTAGTAAAGAGTTTCTCCCTAATATCTAATCTGAACCTGCCCTCCTTCAGCTTGAGGCTTTTCCTATCACTACACACCCTTGTGATCATCCAGTCCAACCCTTAACACTGCCAAGGCCACCCCTAAACCGTGTCCCCAAGTGCCACATCTACACCTCCTTAAACCCCTCCAGTGCTGTGGGCTGGGCACCCGATTTCAGGGGTTTTACATGTGATGAGCTGCAGCTGATCCACAAATCAACCAGCCCTCAGCACCTGGAGGTCACGAAATGTGCTGCTGTAACGCAGCCCTGTCCAGCAGCACCCAAAGGAAACCCACCTTCCTTGCTCCAAGGCCACCCAACAACACAGAGCAAAGCACGGTGGGAGCGGGGATAACTGGGATAACACATTTCCAAAGGGCTTTCCTGATCTGAACCAACACTGATGGATCTGCACTCATTAAACCTCAGGAGTTTCACCTGTCACTGCTGCTCTCTGTAAAAACTCAGAACATGGGCAATTTTTCAAAGATCTCTCAGAGTTCAGCTGTGGAAATAGGAATAGAATCTCAACTTTCACTGGTATCAGCAATTAGTAGGATCATACTTCCTCATAAAATGGGTCAGATGTTGTCAAAGTAAGGACAGCCAAAGGAGAAAAACAAACAAATAAAGGCTGACAAGACAAATACACAACAAGCATCTTATCTGTCTCTGTGTGTCAAGTTATCTGAAGATCATTAAAATTACTGCCCCTTGAGAAGTGGTCCACGGATACACGGTCCACAGATCAATGTGACAACATTACATTATTTGTGCATTTAAAACCCATAAAATCCCCCCATTTCCATTTTTAGGGAAGGAATCCCTGTCTTTGCCTGCCTAGCCCAAACCCAGCAGTGTCAGGAAACACACCCAGCACGGACCAGGCTGTTCCAAAACCTTAGCACGGTGATGTGGGGCAGAATTCAACATTCAGAGCAAAACTGCCTGGAAATAAATTGAGGGAAGACAGGACAAAACAGTGGAAAGAGCAAGAGCTGCACAGATTAGCGAAACATAATGATCTGCTTTAATCGATTTCTCTAATTTTTATTTATGTAAATTAGAAAACTAATGAGAAACTCTTCCTTAGTTCGTTATTATCCTCAAGCCAAATGTATTTCAAAGCTGAACTACAGCAGAATATTGCACTTCAGGGAACCATCTAAAAGAGGGAAAACTTGCTGTTAATAATGACAAATTTTAACCATTTAGGAGAGAATTAACAACAGACCCTTAATAAGGAACACGAGTTGAACACGTTTATATTACTGTAATTAAAAATATTCTTGCCCTGAGGAATTTGCTGTGCCTCCAGTGCTAAAATTAAACCCTCTAAACATACATAAATACATGTTCTGCAATATTCCTTCTTCACATCTCGGTGAGTCTCTGTTTGTTGCGCTCTGTTTCACCAGAAAAATGTTTTTGTTTTTTTTTACAAATCAAACAGAAAGAAAAGTACAAGTTACACTCCCAGTACAACAATCAGTACCAAAAGGATGATGGAAGCCAAAATTTAACTTAATTGCTTGCTTAATTTAAAGTCTGCTTTCTTAAAAGAGAAACTTTCATACTGTGGCAGATCGAGAAAGGTTTAAATTATTCTGGATTTCACATTCCCCTTGCAGTGCTTCCAGGTGCACATCAGAGCAAAGCCCCCAGAGTTACAGACAGCTTGGCAATGTAAGGAAAACCAAACAGAGCCCCAGCTCCCTGAAATAATCCTCCCATCACAGTGGCACTGCCACAAAGACAATCAACAGCAACCAGCAAGAACAAACCAACAGGGTGAGAACTCCTGTTTCGAAAGCACAATATTTGGGATTAGGTCATGTTTCTGTAAATCAACACTAAACCACAGATGTCAAACAGCAAAATGCTTCCTAATGACAGGAGGCAATAAAGATGTCATAAAGGTTGGAAAGGACCTCCCAGCCCATCGAGTGTCCCCTGTGCCTGATGCCCACCCTGTCCCCCAGCCCGGAGCACTGAGTGCCATGTCCTGTCATTCCTTGGACACCTCCAGGGGTGGGGACTCCACCACCTCCCTGGGCAGCCCATTCCAATGCCTGACCACCCTTTCTTTCGGTGAGGAAACTCCTCCCGAATCCTGACCCTGGGAGATAGTTAATCCAGCCGAACTCTTTCGAGTTCATTTTCAAGTTCACACATGACCAAAGACAGACATTTCCCACTATTTATCATCCCAAACTCCCCCTCCAAAACACTTATTTCCAATAACGCAGCAGAGTTCTGCTTCCTCTCCACGAAATAACACCTCACAACTCCTGCCTGTAAACCTGAGCAGCCATTCTGAGTATGTTTTTGCTGGTCTGTACAGCAGCCACATTAAAACAAAACACACACATTAAGAAAGACAAACTACTTTAGGGCTGTCTCTTGCTTGAGCATTTGTGTGGTAATAATGCAATTGCACCCTGACCCTCTGCCACATTCAGGGCATTAAAACCATAGCAAAATTTAATTTATTGCCTTTTGCAAACCCCTAGGGATGCCACGAGAACAAGGAGGTGGAAAAGAGTTTCACCACCCAATCTGAGCCATGAGCTCCCGGTAAGATCCATGGTAAAATCATGGATGTGTGCTTACCTCAGTCAGGTAGGTAAAGCTTTCATCATGTGTGTGCGTCTGCAAGTCTCTACTTGCAGAAAGAAAACTATTTATTGCGACATCTTTAAAAGGCACCTGACTTTTACATCCACTTTCTCAGAGGTTTTAATCTCCAGAAGTATCAGCTAACACCAGCTTCCACAAAAATGCCACAGAATCCATGATTTCACTCAGTGAAAGCAACATCCAGGATAGTCTAATACACTCTAAGACAACAGCAAAAAACCATTAAAAATGCCATGGAAGAGCCAACGAAAAGGCTGGATAACGAGAACAAAATATGCAGGTGATACGACAGGGAAGGCGGGGAAGGGAGAGGGACAACGAAAAGCCTCATCCTAATTAAGTAAACATATGACAAAGAAAAGAAACCTGCAATAGTTGGGTGTGGTTAGTTTATGATTAAAATGCTAAATAACGATAAGAATCTGGCAAAAATACATACTGTGTGAGAGCACAGCCTATACAGTTATCTTACACTGCAGCAGCTCTCAGTTTCTCAAGGTTAGTAGGTTTTATTAAATCAGTGATTCTGCACAGGTGGATTTTTTTTCTTTTTTTTGTAATTGAGTATTATATAAGACAGGAAAATACTGCTTGTCCTAATATGTAGTTCATGCCAAAGGTCCTCCCAAACATGCACTGTATGAAAATGAAAAGCAGGGACTCTGGGTTATGAAAAGAAGCCATATGACTAAAAAGTGATTCCATTTTCCAAAACGCCCACACAGACAAGAGCTTCTGATGTGAAAAATGGTCTCTGCAAAAGCTAAATTGCACAGACTATTCCCGTGAAAAGTTAAGAATCATGCAGATTATACTACATCTACCACGATGAAATTTAAAAAAAAGAAAAAACCCACCAACTTTTTATGTTACTACAGTATGAACAGTTACTTGCTTGTTCAATGTGGATGATATAAATATCAGTAATTATTTAACTGAAAAATAGTCTTCCTTTAGAATGTACACAAAGGTGCTTGCTTAGTTTTTCCAGGTTTGTTTCCCTCTTTTTGGGTACCTTCAAAATGAGGTGCAACAACATGTGTGTGCCAGCAAAGCAGTTGTGGCTTACCTTGGCATTGGAATCCTTGTTTCCCAAATCCCCTGCAGAAAAAAAAAGAAGAAAAAAAACAAACCTCAGTATATGTTTAGTTACAATTTCTACTCAAATACCTACAAAAACATAAAAATCGCTTCGTATTAAATTCCTTCAGGTTTCTGCCACGGCAGCAACAGATTTTCAAATACACAACACAGACCAGCCCACCCATTTCAAAGCAGGGAACAATAGCTGTCACCAGCTATGTAATTTCGGCTTCTGGCAACAATTTTTTTATTATTATTATTTTCCAAGCTATTTTGGATCCACAATTATCATCGTCTGTGATTACTGCATAATATTTCAGCTCATTTCACGCCACGTGTACGCTTAACAGCAAGGTAGAATAGTCCAAGTTCCAGCAAAGGCGCACGAAACAAACCACAGTTGGTTTCTCATCCCAATTTTCGGATTACACACCGATGTTACGTGCCTCAGCCACACTCCAGCCGTTTGCTGTATGGAAAGCAGGCAGGCTAAAGGTTTTGCTTGTTGCAATGGAAATGAGGAGACAGGCCCATGATTTTCATGCTCATTATTTGCCCAGCTTCCTCGCTCCACTTCCAGGAAACCCCACAAGTGTGTGTGTAACACTTCACCAATGACCACGGTATCCAGAGGTCCAACATTTATCATCCCTCTGGCAAACCACACCGCTGTTGCCTTTATTTATTTGTTGATCTTTAAGCATTCAACATCCTCTTTCCACAAAAATAACTGTTTTGAGTATCCTCCTTATAAACAATTCCCTGCCTTTTTTCCCCCCCCTCTTTGCAGAATGTTTTTCAGCTGGAGCTGCTCACCCTCAGAGCCAAACAGACAAAAGCCAGGAGCTGGAGAAGCTGTGTGCAATTAACAGCATGAGGTTTAATTATCAGCTTTGTGGAAATGGCTTTTAAAAAAAAAAAAAAAAATTTCTCCACTATTTATTTATTTATTTAGTGAAGGGACCAAACATTTACTGCACCGTTACTCCAGGTGGAAGCTGAAATTACACAGCTCAGAGCTTTTCTCTACATTTCTGTGCACAAGTCTTTAACTGCTGCTGCTACAAGCAAGCCTAAACTAAGAAGATCAGAAGAAAACTCGAATTATTTGTTTACTTGGCAGCACACGTGCCTATACTGTCACTCTGATGCTGTTATCTCTCGCCTTCACAAAACTCAAAAAGCCTGTGCTGGAAGTGTGGAAATGCAACCGCAGGAAAGCTGATGGTAGGACTAAGAACATGAAACAGACTTTAGGTTTGTTTTTTTTTTTATCCTTCTAAACAGACTTCTTTGTAAAGAATATTCCTGTATTATCTACTCCAGAAGCACAGGCACCCCTCAGTATTTGAGCTGGATTCGTACAGAGCTGCAGCCCACTCCAATCCCAGAGCAGTTACATGTATTTTAAGTAAAAGGTCTTTAAAAAATTATCAATAATGCAGAAACAAAGTAGAGAGGTGAAAATTGCTTAAGAGGATAAGGAGGCAATAAATTATTTTGGTAAATATCTCATCTAAGGAAAATATCTATTTGCATAGTTCATTCTTTATACCATAAAGCGTATGTTAACTGGCACAAGTCATTCTGGAAAGAGATGAAGCCGTTCCTATGGTGTGTGATGGTTATCCAAGAGCGGCCCATCTTCAAATTAGGAAGTGAAACAAGTTTTCGAGCTGTCAGATGCTCTTCTAATGAATGGTAGGAGCCTCCTCAGACTCGCTGAGCAAGACAAGACAAGAGTACAGCCACCCTTGCCACCTGTCAGCCACGGGATACCCTTTCACTTCAAAATCCACCCTGCCATTCAGGGCAGAACTCCGCTTTGTTTTATAATTGCACTACTTACGTGCACAGACACAGTTCGACAGTAACCCTGCAGCGGTTTTTCACACCTCCCAATTCACTCTGGTTTAGATTTAACTTGGAAGCAGTCTCTGAAGGTCTCTCTCACTTTTTACAATACCTAACTCTGCGATTTTTTTGCAAGTAGAAAAAAAAATAATAAAAAAAAAGCAAACTCAGAAAGTTGACTTGTTTCTTTTGCAGTCTGTCATCTCAGCTTTCCTGCCTTACTCTGCAAATATATTTCAATCATTCCTGGAGCAATCAGTCTTTGCTTCAGCAGGCAAACGGGAAAGCTGATGAAAGAAGGCAAAGGTCTGGGTCCGAGCGAATGAAAACATATGAGTTATAACATAAATACATATGAAAAGGGCAACAAGCGTGCCGTGGACACAGAGCCATCCGGCTGCAGACCCCTCTAAATCTTTCACAACTCCGGCCAAAATAAATCACAGCTCTGGCTCTCAGCTCCCAGACCCGCAGCGCAGAGTCCCTCAGCGGAGCCGGGCTGGAGCTCAGCCCCACCTGCGGAGCAGGACGGGGAATCCCGAGCGGTTCCCGCAGGCTCAGCACACCCGGGGCTCCCTCTGCTCCTCCTGCCGGGGCGGCCCGGCCTGCTCGGAGCTGCCGCCCTGCCCCGGCCGGAACACAGAGGTGTGTGGTGGTTGTTTTTCTTTTTTCCCTACACGCCTAGCAGTGAGGGTGTTGGTAGGCGAGTTTTCCTGCCATCTCTAGCAGGAACCCTTCTCTCCGAGAAACCACCCCTCCCTTTCGCCGCCGCGGACCGGAGCGGCGGTGTCACGGTGCCTTTCCCGGCCTCCGCTGCGGGCAGGCACAGGGCAGGCACCGACCGGGAGTTCAGGCTGGGAGACACAACTGAGCCACCCAACACCCCCCCGGGTGTGACACAGCCACCCCCCGTCCCACCGCGGCGGCCGTGCCGGGCTGAGCCCCCCACCTCGGGCAGGGAGCCCAGCCCAGCCCAGCCGGGACAAGGGGTGAGGAAATACACATCGGGACCATTTGGGAAGCGACGGTCCCAGCGCGGATTCCTCAGACCCCCACGGAGCTCCGGCAAGTTTGGGGGCTCCCCCAGCCCCGAGAGCGCCCAGACTCGGGCCGGGGCCCCCCGAGCACCGGCGGCGGCAGAGAGTCCGCCGGGAGGGGATGCGACAGCGCCCGGGGCAGCGAGGGGACACGGAGGGGTCACCCCCAGCGGGGTCACCTGCGCGGCCCCGGGAACCGGCTGCCCCGGGGAAGCGGCGAGTGGGAGGGGAAGGCAGGGAGGGAAAGAGGGAAGGAGGGAGAGAGGGCGGCTCACCGGGAGCCGGGCACGGTGCGGGGGACTTGCCCGCGGCGGGGAATCCCTTCCAGCCGAACGGGCCCGAGCGACGGGAGCGCGGGGAGCGGGGCGGGGAAGGAGAGGACGGGCGCCCGCGGGCTCTCTCACCAGATGAAGTCGGTGCAGTGGCTGCAGAAGGTGGGCTGCTTGAAGAACCGCGCGATGAATTTGTGCTCCTTCACCTCGTGCACGTTCTTCTGCCTCAGGGCGCCCTTGCGAGCGAAGCGCCGCGCCGCCTCCGGGTCCGCGCCGGGCTCGGAGCCCGGGAACACGTCGGCCATAGCGCCTCCTCCCCACCCCCCGCCGCCGCCGGGAGTCGCCGCCCCGACGTCCGCCCCGTCCGGCGGCCGCCGAGTCTCTGGCAACGGCGGCGCTGGGCGCTGCCTCCCGCTCCGCGCCTGACGTCGGAGCGGAGGAGGATCCCGAGCCCTCGCCGGCTGCTCCGCCCGCGGCTGAGCGAGCCCCCGGCCGGGGCGGGGCGGGCGCGGGGCCGCCCCCGCCGGGGAGCGCCGGGGGGAGCGCCGGGAGGGCCCGTCAGCACCTGCCGCCTCTCGTCAGCCGCCCCCGCCCCGAGCGGCGGTGCCGGCGCGCCCCGCACACGCGAACCGGGTCCTGCTCGCACACCCCGGGTCTTCCTCACGCACACCGGGTGTTCCCTCACGCACCGGGTCCTCCTCACTCACAGCGGGTGTTCTCTCTCACACCACGGGTGTTCTCACGCTTGTTCTCACCGCCTTTGCCTTACACGCACACACATACACACACAGCGGCTCTCCCCACATGCCCCTCACACACCAGATCCCTCCAAATTCATCGGTTCTCTCTCTCTCTCACACACACACAAATCCACCTACAAAGGCTTCCCTCACACACACACGCACACAGAGAAGCTCCCTTCTCACACACACACACACTCACAGGTTCCCTTAACACGCACCCCGATTCCCCTCACTTGCACACACAAAGGTTCCTCTCACACCCCAGCACACAGATCACCTCCTCTCACACCCCCTCAGCTCCCTCCGTGCACACGCAGAGGGCAGTCAGCCCCTTCTCTCTCCCACACACACAGCAGATGCCTCCCTTCACACACAAAGCAGATCGCACACAGTGTTTCCTCGCTGTCAGCCATGGAAACCCACACCTTCCTTCCCTGCCAGGCCCTGGCACCCGGGACAATGACCATCCATCACTGCCTGCCTTCACCTGCACTCAGCACAGCTGCTACACCGTGCCATGGGCACAACCACCGCTGTGACAGACAGCACGGATAACCCTGTACTCAAAGATGCTACACCATGCCAAGGGCACCACCACCACCGTGACAGAGAGCACGAATAACCTGCCCCCAACTGCTCTCTGCTGCCTTTGCCACATGAGCTTCCTGCGCCTACCCCGAGACTCGTTGTTCCTCCACCACAACAAAACAAAGATGCAGCCACACGCTCTCCTCCACACTCCTTTCCCCTTCCTGCAACTCGCAAAGCCAAGAGCAGATGTGAATGCTGTCAGAGGCCACACTGAGCAGCTGTGCACCACACGGTACCCACAGGATGTCTTGCCCCACTGCACTGTGCCATATATCTTTATAGATCAATATAAACATCCTCCCATATTTCATATTTCAATACAAATATCCTCAACGAAAAGTGTAGAAAACACACACCTAGTCTTTTTCACTAATCAGAGCATCCAACACACACACACCAGGCTTTAACTGTGGTTTTATGCAGCGCACCAACAATAGCATGAAGTAATTCCAGAAAATAATAGACCTGTTCATCTTCATTTACTCACATTACACACAAGATGTTCACAGGTCCCTGGACGCAGAAACATCTGCCCATGGCATGCACCCATCCTCTCACATAGCAATTCATACTGTATCTCCATACATCTCCATACAAGGCACGACATAAATCATGACTAAGTTAACATAAAACCACAATATATATGTTAAACAAAGAAACCAAGTACTAATCATATTGTTTTTAATAAATGCTATTCCTGTGGCTACAAACTTTCACATATGAAAATGCACACAGATGCATATTAAAAGTTCTACCCCTTTATATCTTGCATACTTATGCCTGTCTGTGTAAGCATGTGTAATATGACTTATTTCACAAAAATGAAAGCCAGCTAATTACTCAAATTAAGTCTTACTTGCTGATGGGGAAAGTGCCCATGGACATTTACCACAGAACAGAAAGAACTTGTTACATGCTTTCTTACTCCTAATTTAAAAACCCTGGTTTCTGGGTGCAGCCTGGCAGAATTGGAGTGCCTGGAGCATTTCACTAAATAACTAATGAAAGGGATAGCCCCACTTTTTTCTAAACTTAAAGAATCACACCAGATGCCCTAGAAACTGTTTCCATACGCCCTTGCTTCATGGATTTTATTTTGCAAGCAACTACTCCCAAATTTGATCTGAAATCCAATAAAACATAAAGATTTTTAATTTGGTTCCAACCTATTCTGCACGTTTCAAATCTCTTCTTCTTCAGGAATAGATTTTTCTTGCCTTAATCAACTTATGCCAAAGCATGAGTAGCACCAAGAAACATTTTGTACTCTCGTTAAGTGTTCTATCAAGAAATAGGGAACGTGTTTATTCCTTTCATGCTGTGCCACAAACACAGCTACCAAAAATGGGGAGAGAGAACCGAACACGACTCAGATTACGTCAGGTTCGGGGCGATCTGGGCATTTCATTGTTCCTTGAAGTCTCACAAAGCTGCTGAATCATTTTGGATTCCAGTTTCTTGCTGCCAGTGACTCTGGACCAGATTGATTCACTGAAACACTGGCGAGTGCCGCAGGCTCTTTGCTCATGTCAGGCCCCAGGGAAGAGCCAAATGACACCAGTCATGACACTGCATGATCACATTAAGATCTCTCTGCAAAGAACTATTTCATCTCAAACCTAGCAGTTATTTGTACACTGTGACTGTACACAGTAGGCAGAGAAAAATCTATTCTGTGTGCATAGCCATCCCCAGACAGCCAGGTAAACCTTTACAACACAGCCTTCCCTTCCTGCACATAATGTACAGCTCCTCTTACTGCTGTGTTTTGGATAAACACCACTTACACAATATATATATCTATATATCTATTCACCTTCAAATGGCAAAATTTGTCACCATGACCAGGATCCAGGACACTCTTACAGCAATACCGTGAGGAGATAGTATGTTCCAGTCACAGGCACTGTTGGGATATGCTGTTGTAACCCCATCATCCTCTTGCTGGGAGGCCTTTAATTGCCTGGACACTCATTTTTCCTACTCTGCATTCAGGTCCCGTGGGTGACACAGGAACTCATCCTTCCTCTGCAGATAAACTGGAGGAAAGGCGTCTGCCCCCTCTTCCTGCGTGCGCACATTCCCCCCAGCAGCCCGTGACTGGCTCTTCTGCCGAGGGTGGTGTTTGCAATTTGGTTCTGATTCAGGCCATCTGGACGAGGAGTCAGCAGTTTTTTTTTGCTGCTTGTGTTCAGGCATATATGTGGTTATTAAATCAGAGCACCAGCTTTTCCAATCTCTCGGCAAGCAGCTTCAGAACTCCTGACTACAAAGTGCCATTTACGGGGTCTTCTCATAATGAATTTCCTCCTGTATGACTATTTGGATGATATCCTAGAGGGCTTGTCCCTGATAAAAGTACCCCATTGGATGGTTTATGAGTTCCTCTTTAAAGAATTTGATTATTGCTGTAACAAGCACAACTTCTCAAGTCCTTTCTATATTTTCATCAATACCATCCTAGGCCCGTAAGGACAAGCATCTGGGTTCAATTTGAAAGCATTTCTCGTGAAATGCCTTCGCTTTTTCCTCATCTGCTGGATCAGCATGATACTGCCTGCATCATTTTTTAATCAAAAGGCAATTAAAAAAGTCTCTCCTTCCTAAGGGAGAAGTGTCTGGATCATTCTGTCCCTGTTTACAGGCTCTGCACTGCATCAGATCCACTCAAAGACCTTGCCAAGGAGAGCACCTTCATCAACTGCTTCGGCACTTGTGACTATTTTATTATTTCCTGCTTGTGAGGGACATTCAACAAACTGGAATCACTTCCTGCTGGAGGCCTCTAAGGAAGTTCAAAAACTAATTTCTCCTCACACTTCAAAGCAAATCACAACCACTTCCCTTTCTAGAGGGTTATGAGAACAAGTACCTTTTTTCTGAAGCCCATCTAGGAAGGATGACTTGATCACTGCAAAACTGCTGTCTAAAAAAATGCTTTGCTTCACCCAATCTCATCTTCCAAAGGAATTTCCACAATCAGCTCATGAGACATCTCTGCAAGATATTATTGGGGGATAATCCCTTGCCATAGTTAAGTCAAAACCAGTTATCAGTTTCCACTAATTTGCAGTATAATTTAAGAAGTCAGGTTTTCCTAACTTCCCTTTTCCCATGGATTATCAATTTTGTTTCTCTCTTTGTCTGAAATCACCAGTTGAGTTTAGTGTTGGGGCTCCCATTCATAAGTTTGTCATGTTTTGAAAAATATCAATTTATTTTGAGATCATGCCCACTACTTCTTGTGTTTTTTCCATATTCTACTACACATTCATCAACAAAACTGTTTATTGCTCTTGCCTGGACCCTTTGGCAACAATACACCCTTTCAAAGAAATAGAAAAAGGTAAGATATGGTAACACAAATAGATATATTTCTGTATTTGTTTGTGTGTTATCCCAGTTGTAAGAAGGAAATAGAAATATTTTGTCTCTTTCTATCAACACAGGTTTCTGCATCTTTCTGTGTCTTTCTCTATTTGCACAGCTGTACCTGTGTCTCTGTAGTTCTAGTGATTCTCCTCTCTGACCTTTTCCCCTCAAAGTTACTCTGAGTTCAGATTGACAAGTACTGGGTCATTAGACAGGCTTTATTAATAAATTATTCCATCTGAGAGACAGCTTGTTTACACTTACCATTACTTATGGGAAAGTTTGAATACATAGATTAAAATATAATCAAAAAGAACACCAAGTGCAAAAAAAAAAAAAATCCTAAGAGAGATGAAATGTCCCAGAAAAAGTATTTCTGAGAAAATTCTGGGGGGAAAAAAAAATGGCCCATCAAAATAATAAACCATTTCCCTGAGATGAAATTGCAGTTCATCGATATGTCCTAATCAGGAAAATCCTCCTTCCCTTTGTGACTTGTAAATGATGCCATTATTTCAACTCGAGTTTCCTTGAAAGTCGTGCAAAACCCATTCCTCATGCAGATAGCTTGGAGCTGCCTGCACATTATCCTCCCAGCAGCTCTCCAAAGAATTGGAAATAAATGGCTGATGATATA